CCTCGTCTAAAAAAAGAAAGAAAACAGAAAAAAAAAAAGCACCTGCCTCCCACCTCAGCCTCCCAAGCAGCTGGGACCACAGGTGTGCACCACCACACCCAGCTAATTTTTTGTATTTTCTGTAAAGACAGGGTCTGGCCACGTTGCCCAAGCTGGTCTCGAACTCCTAAACTCAAGCAATCCACCCGCCTTGGCCTCCTGAAGTGCCGGGATCAGACTGCACCGTGAGCCCGGGGCTCACTACCATTTTTAAAGTGCCTTTGCCTGCACCCTGCGTCAGTCAGGGAAAAGACGGAAAGGGTTTCTGCTACTCTCTGTCTCGAGCTTCAGCTACCACAGGGCTGGCCTGGAAAGGCGCTGGAGGAGGGGTCTGGGGGTTATTTTAACTTTTTTATGCCTGCTCTAAATGCAGGCAAGGATGCCAGGAATCGGACTAGTACCTCCTATCTGGTTTTAGACAGAGACACATGGGCACTACAAATAGCCTGGAAGCCCCTTCTGCTCCAGCGAAACCCGAGAGCAGGCCACATTCCCCGCAGGGCAAGTGGGAAGCCTGGGGCTGCACGTCCTGCACTCTGCCTCCAAGGAGGCGGAGGGGACCGGTGCAGAAGGGTCAGGCGTCTTCCATAAAAGGGGCTGGTCCCCGCTCGTTCCAGATCCCGGGCACCTGTGAGGCAAGGGAAGCTCGCTGCGCTGTCAGCGCCGCGTCACTCACACAGATTAGGCCGTGGGGAATCTCTGAGACCATAAATCATCAGGTGCGGGTAGGGGAGGGGAAGCACACACCACTTTCACTCCAAAGGTCACTGACGCATCTTTGTGCCTTTAAGGCGCTTGCTGGCCGAAATGTTTCCTTTTTCCTGCAAGGGTAACCCATAGCCTGGGGACCTGTGTCCTCCTTTCCCTTCCAGAGGTTGCCTTTATCAGACCCCATGCTCCTCTCGTCCCACCCTGCCTGCCCCCACGCTGTCCTTCTCGGCCCTGTGGTTCCTTCTCAGCCCCGTGCTCCCTTCCCGGCCCTGTGCTCCCTTCTCGGCCCTGTGATCCCTTCTCGGCCCTGTGCTCCCTTCTCGGCCCTGTGATCCCTTCTCGGCCCTGTGATCCCTTCTCGGCCCCGTGATCACTTCTCGGCCCCGTGACCCCTTCTCGGCCCCGTGCTCCCTTCTCGGCCCCGTGCTCCCTTCTCGGCCCCGTGATCCCTTCTCGGCCCCGTGATCCCTTCTCAGCCCCGTGATCCCTTCTCGGCTCTGTGTTCCCTTCTCGGCCCTGTGATCACTTCTCGGCCCTGTGCTCCCTTCTCAGCCCTGTGGTCCTGCTGCCTGCATGCCCTGGGTGGCTTTCAGCAGCACATGTCTGCTCAGCCTTTGCTGCAAACCTCAGGAATATGGGTGACGACATGACAGCCAGCATCCTCAGGCAGGTGTCCCTGCACTTTCCCGCCAGCTCTTCTAAGCAGCCTATTGTCTAGGAAAGGAGGCGATCCAAGCTGCCGTCCTCCCAAGAGGCCCCAGTCAGGCGAGTCAGTCTTCCCAGCCCTCTCCCCCTTGTGATGAGTCATGAGGGGAGGTGCCTTCCCAGGCTCTGAGCAAACCCCCATCCCCGACCCTGGCACAGGCCTGCGGTGGGCGCCTCTTCCCACCCCCTCGAGTCAGCAGAAAAGCAAGAACTCATCTCAGCGGCTTCAGCAGACCCATCCTCCCTGCCCCCCTCCACAGCCGGAGCAGGCTCCGGCCACAGGGAGGTTAGGCTGGCGATTTTACACTGCTGTGTGCTCCAGGAAGGCAGCAGGCAAAACCTGGACCAGCCTCGCCGCCGCCTCCCCCTCACCCCACCAGGCTGGGAATAGCAGAAACATCTGTTTGGAGTGTAGAGACTCCCTGGACCCAAACCTGGTGCTGGGGAAGCAGCACCTGGAGTCACTCTGGCTCTGGCTGCCAAGGGGAGCTGTGTTCCCTGCAGGCTGGGGCACGGAGCCACCACCCCATGGCCCGTGGCATCCTCTCTCTCCCTGCCACAGCCTAGCCTGGTCCAGGGCGGAGGGTGACCGAGGTGGCCAGGACATAAGCGGGCACCACACTGGACTTAGACAACGAACAAAGAACCCTGAAAGACAGTGTGGCCTCTCCGCTGGGGCGGGCGCTGGGGTGCACGCCCCAAGGCCCTGGCCCTGCATACCCTGACAGTCTGGTTGTTGGCGGCTGCCCATCTAGGCTTCGGCAGCTGGGCCCCATCCTCTGGAGCTGCCTGCTCCCCGCACCACGCACTCCCCTTGTCTCCACCTCCCCATCGTCTGCATCCAGTTTCGCAACACGTTCGGCCAGAGCTGTTTCTGCAATTAGGATGACAGCTGACCCCAAGCAGCCAAGACAGAAAGGCTTTTCAAGTATACAAGGAGTTCTTGTGACCCCAGGGGGCTGAGTCCAAGCGCATCATCCAAGGCAACCCAACAGGGCTGATACCAAGATTCCAAAAACACACTGAGGAGCTCAGAGCCAGCGTCTCAATTCTGCCCCCAGAGTGAGAGTGGCTGCCCAGAGAGGGGCGGCTGTCTCAGGTCAAAGCCAGACTCAGAACACCACGTGTGGGTCACAAGACACCCTGGCTTTTGTTCCTTCCCTGGCCAGGCTCAGGGTCCAGGGAGGTGGGTCGGGGCCAAGGCCCGATGATTGGGCCAGGAAAGGAGCAGGGAAGGCAGGTGAGGCCTGGGGTGAGGCTCCTTCAACCCAACAAGCCCATGAGGACCACTCTTTTTTTCTTTTTTTTTTTTTTTTTTCCAGACAGAGTTTCACTCTCGTTGCCCAGGCTAGAGTGCAATGGCATGATATCGGCTTAACGCAAGCTCTGCCTCCTGGGCTCAAGCAGTTCTCCTGTCTCAGCCTCTTAAGTAGCTGCGATCACAGGCATGTGCCACCGTGCCCGGCTAATTTTGTATTTTTAGTAAAGACGGGGTTTCTCCCTGTTGGACAGGCTGCTCTTGAACTCCCGACCTCAGGTGATCCGCCCGCCTCGGCCTTCCAAAGTGCTGGGATTACAGGCGTGAGCCACTGCACCCTGCTCGGTGAGAACCGCTCTTAAATGTGGGCACTGAGGACCCAGACCAGAAACAGACATGGTCAGTTGCAGACCGACGTCAGAGGCTGACGCCAGCGGGCACAAAGGCAGGGAGAGAACAGCAAACGTGTCCTCCAGAGGCTCGGCTTTGGGGATGGCCTTACTTCTCTCTGAGCTTCAGAGAGCTTAGCGTCAGGCAGCCCCAAACACCACTCATCTGTGCCCTGCTCCCTGCCCTGGGGGCCGAGATGAACCACAGCCACAGCTCCTGGCCCCTCTGTCTTCCTATTGGGTTCAGTCCCCAAGAGGCACTGGCATGAGGCAGGAGGGGAGTGAGGCTGGGCACTTATCCTATGGCTGCCTCCCTGCCAGGTCACGGTGAGCTGACTGCAACCATTGCCAGAGCATGGTCCTCATCAGACCGTCCTCTCCACCCAGGCCGTGGACTGCTGGCCACGCACTGCTGACCACAGACCGCTGACCACGCACTGCCGACCACGCACTGCTGACCACGGACCACTGACCACGCACTGCTGACCACGGACCGTTGACCACGCACTGCCGACCACGCACTGCCATTCTCCCCAGGCTGCTGCTCAGGGCCTGGCCCTCTACCTCATTCCTGCCCATGCCTTTGTCAAGAGTCCCTGTATGAAACTCTCCTCGCCCAGTTTTTGGCTGTGCCCCTGTGCCCCGCTGGAGCCCCAGCAGACACACCTAACTTTGCCACCTCTCCTAAGGCCTTTAGCCAATAACCAAATCCCAAACTCGCTTTCCAGGTGCCTCCTGAGCCCAGAGCCACTCCCATCCTCACCCCAGGAGTGGGACCTAAGCAGCGAGGCAATTTCACAGTCAATGCCAGAACACGATTTAGGGAAGGAAAATCTGATTGGAAGCAAAATCTCCTTTTTGCTTTTTAGACAGAGTCTCACTCTGTCACCCAGACTGGAGTACAGTGGCTTGATCTCAGCTCACTTTAACCTCTGCCTCCCGGGTTCCAGCAATTCTCCTCCCTCAGCCTCCCAAGCAGCTGGGACTATAGGCACACACCACCATGCCTGGCTAATTAAAAATCTCCTTTTAAGTGGCCCAGAGAGTAATCAATTTCTTGCTAATTGGCCGCCGTAGGTCAGGCAAGCAACAGCATCTCCACATCAGTCCAGAGAGGACAGATTCAGAGCTCTGGGGGACTCTGTCCGGCTGCCCTTCATGCCTGGTCCGTGGCTGTTCTCCCAGAGTGCACCCCAGAAGCTGGGCACCCAGCAAAGGGGGCAGGTATCCCAGGAACAGAGTCCCCTCCCCCACTGAGTGCTGTGTGACTCGGAACATCCTTCTCCAGGCCTCAGTCTTCCCATCTGCTTGACAGGTAGACAGACCACATGGCCTCGGGGTCCTTCAGCTTTGCAGACAGCTGCCCCACAATCCACTCGCCCCATGACCCCCCTGGGGACGAAGTTGGGCTCAGGGACCAGGCTGGGGCTGGCAGCCAGCAGGAGCCACCACACTCACTCGGCCATGGTGAAGGCCAGCTCGAAGTTCTTCTGCCGCTGCGTGGGGCTCAGGGAGTTGTAGTCGAAGGCATCGGGGAAGAAGGAGTGCACCAGGGCGCAGAAAGCCATGCCGTCACTCCAGCTGGAGGAGAAGTTCTGCAGGTCCACGTGCTGTGGGAGGGGAGTGCAGTCAGCGTGGGGCCCAGACACAGATGCCTGGAGTTTCTCAGCACACGCTGCGGGCAGTCAGGCACCCACTGGGAAGGCATGATGACTGTGGCTCCCATCCCTTAACCCCAGCCTCAGCAGGCTCCTGCCCAGGCTGGAGAACAAGGACAGGGGCAATGCCTGGTCAGGCCCCTGGCGGGCAGGTCCCAGCAGCCGGAAGGGAGCCTGGCTCACCTGGTAGCCCAGCGTCTTGCTGCGGCACCACTCAAGCAGAATCTGCTTGATGCTGCTGGCGCTGGCCACACCGAAGCTCTGCGATCGCTTCAGCCGGGCCCGGGCCTCGCCTTTCCCCCTGCAGAGAGAGCGCAGGCCTGCTGCGGGGGCCTCCAGCCACCATCTCCCACCGCGGGTCCAGGACAGGGGAGGCAGTCCCTGCACCCCCAGGGAGGAGGCCCCCGCTCCCTCTGCTCACCCAGGAGAGATGCCGACAGCACGCAGGCTCAGCTGTGCCCATGTCCACGGCACGGCCCCGTACACCAGCCACACAGCCTCCTTTGATGGTATGTGGTGGGACCATCCTCACCCAAAGCGCCCTCTAGGTCCCCTGTCTACTTCCCACCCCAGGAAGCAGGGGTCCCTTGGGAATCCTGAGACCGAAGACCCTGGCCCACCCACATAGCCCCAGGCCCTGCCTTCTGCCTGGAACTCCTTTCCCTGTTCCTTCCTCCCCCGCCTCCTTCTGAGCCCCTCTCCTAATGGAGGGCCTCCTTCCCTGATGGCTCCTTCCTAACCAGGAGGGATGATTTCCTCTTCTGGGCCCCAAGAACAGTCCCTAACGGTCGGGACCAGGTTGTTTGGGGTGAGTGGGGACACGTCCTCAGTTGGCCTCCCTCACTAGAGTTGAGCAGGGACTGGCTGGCATCTTCATCATCCCACAAGGCCTGGGCCACACCCTGCACGCAGCAGGCATCAATACCAGGAACTGACACGAAGACAGGCTGAATATGCAGAGGCGGCTGGAGCCCAGGGAGCCTCGAGGCCTGGAGCCCTCGTCTCTCGAGGCCTGGTAGCAGGCATCCGCTGTGAGTGGGCATCTGTACTTCCCCTCCCCCATCTGTGAGTGGGCATCTGTACTGCCCCACCCCCCGTCTGTGAGTGGGCATATGTACATGCCCCCCCATCTGTGAGTGGGCATACGTACATGCCCCTCCCCCGTCTGTGAGTGGGCATCCGTACTTCCCCTCCCCCCATCTGTGAGTGGGCATCTGTACTTTCCCTCCCCATCTGTGAGTGGGCATCCATGCTTCCCCTCCCCGTCTGTGAGTAGCATCCGTACTTCCCTTCCCCGTCTGTGAGTGGGCATCCGTACTTCTCTTCCCCATCTGTGAGTGGGCATCCGGGCTTCCCCTCCCTGTCTGTGAGTGGGCATCCGGGCTTCCCCTCCCCGTCTGTGAGTTGGCATCCGTATTTCCCTTCCCCATCTGTGAGTGGGCATCCGTACTTCCCTTCCCCATCTGTGAGAGGGCATCCGGGCTTCCCCTCCCCGTCTGTGAGTGGGCATCCGGGCTTCCCCTCCCCCATCTGTGAGTGGGCATCCGGGCTTCCCCTCCCCGTCTGTGGGTGGGCATCCGTACTTGCCCGCGGTCTCCTGCTCCCACTTCTCAAACAATGCCTTCCGGGCCTGCGCCCCCGAGGTGCGGGGCAGCGTCTGCGACCTCACCAGCTCCCTGCGACGCTCCCCCGGCCGATGGACCTGAGTTGTGGCTGGCGGCTGCGGGGACACGGGTGACTGGGGTGGTGTCACCAGCGGTGGGCTGAGGAGGGAATCGCCGAGTTGGGGTGTGGGCCCAGCAGCCGTCACTAGCTCAGCAGGCCCTGAGGTCCCCATCCCGCTGTGTGACAAGGCAGCTGCACCGTGAGGGGCGCTCAGAGAGGAGCCGCCTTGTTCGGGACCCCTGGCGATTTGGCAGGTTTTCCGAACCGTGCTGCCTGGCGGGCCTGGCCCATAGGCCCAACTCAGGAGGGACGCCAGCCCCCTCTCTGGGCATCACCACCCCCTTGGCAGTTGTCAGTGCCTGGGGAGACAGGGGACCCCCTCCTCGAGCAGGAGGTGCACCCAGAACCAGCCCGGTGGGGCCAGGCCTCCTGCCTCCACGGCCATGAGATAAGACCACTGTTTCCTCTGAAACCGTTTGCCAGGAAGTCACAATTATCCTTTTATTATTAAAGAAAAAAAAAAAGCCAAGCCCGCTACCCCACCCCCACCCCCATCCCCATCCCCAGTTACAGTCCGGCTGGCCAGAGTGGGGAGGCCTGCACCACAGGGAAGGCCCGGCTCACCTGTCCCTGCCCGCAGCCCTTGGGCAGGAAGTTCCTGGCTCCGAGGGACCCCAGCAGGCTGGGATGGAAGAAGACTATGCTCCTGTCCTCCCTCTCCTGCCAGCCGAGACACCTCCTCCAATTTTTTTTTTTTTTTTTTTTTTTTTTTGAGACAGAGTCTTACTCTGTCGCCCAGGCTAGAATGCAGTGGCGCCATCTCGGCTCACTGGAACCTCCGCCTCCCAGGTTCAAGTGATTCTCCTGCCTCAGCCTCCCAAGTGGCTGGGATTTCAGGCATCCACCACCATGCCCAGCTAATTTTTGTATTTATTTATTTATTTGAGACGGGATTTCACTCTAATTGCCCAGGCTGGAGTGCAATGGAGCGATCTTGGCTCACTGCAACCCCTGCCTCCTGGGTTCGAGTGATTCTCCTGCCTCAGCCCCCCGAGTAGCCGGGATTACAGGCATCTGCTACCACACCCAGCTAATTTTTTTATTTTTATAGAGATGGGGTTTCACCATGTTGGCCAGGCTGGTCTTGAACTCCTGACCTCAGGTGATTCACGGCCTTGGCCTCCCACAGTGCTGGGATTCCAGGCGTGCACCACGGCTCCCGGCTCTTCCTCCAATCTTTTGACTGACTTGAGTGGTCCACAAAGAAACCAGCCTGTGGCCACATTTCTCCCAATGAAGCTCTCCACCCAGCCCCTCTGCCCCACTCCCTGCTCACATCTTCCCCCAACCGTGCCGCCCAGTGCTCCAGAGATCCAGCCCCGAGCCTTCCATGGAGATGCCAACCCCTGGGCGGCCTGCGTCCAAAGCCGAGAAGACATCGGCGTGGCGACTTCGCGGGAACATGGGCCCTGACCCACCTGTCGCTGTGTTTGCTGGCTGTCACTGCCCCGTAGCCAGAGCTTGACACAGACCTCGTGAAAGAGGAACTCTTCTCTGTGGAACAGACAGAGGGAGAGAAGTGACACACCCCTGCCCAGGGAGGGCCGCCACAGCCTCCCTTCCTCTGACCTGGCATCACTTCGTGGATGAACAAAACTTCTGGGCTAAGCCAGCCCTGCCTCAGTGACAGTGACAGAGAAGGGAAGATGGGCACTCGCAGCAACAACATCAAGGAGGTCTTTTCAGCTGTCCCGCCCTGCTCCTGAGAGGGCAGAGCTCAGGGCCCGTGCCATGTATCTGGCGAACACAGCTCCCAAACCCGTCCCACAGAGGCCGGTGCCACCTCCGCCAGGACACAGCACAGAGGCCTGATCACAGGCCACATCAGGCCTGGGGCCTTGAGGGAGGGGACAGTGCCAACGTGCAGGGCAAGAGCCACCTTTCAACTGTGGCCTCCACCTGTAATAAAAGCCACGGTTGCCCCCACCAGGGGATGACGATATTTCTCAGCATCTCTGGGCAGGAGCCTGGGAGGATGGGCTAAGGGGAGGGGCAGACATGGCAGGCAGAGGCAGGGCTGGGCTTGGTCCCTCGTTTTCCAAGTCACCCACCGACTCCCCCTCCCCAGCCCTGGCCCTCCCACTCCCATCCCAAGGGGAGGTCCGCCCAAGGCTGCGCTGTCCTGCTCCTACCGCTAGGACTGGGAGTCCAGGGCGTGGTGGCCTCGCTGGGGCTCGGGTTGAGGCCCCCCAGGGTGGCAGCAGACGTGGGTGATAGAGCCGCAGCTGAGTTCTCCCCAGAGAATCTGTCAGAGACTCGGGTGACAGCCGTGACTGGCTGGTGGGGCAGCCGCAAGGAGAGACTCACAGGGCGAGGCCTGGGGGGATCTGGTGCCTGGAAAGTTTGGGCAACCTCGGAGGGGCCATCGCCTGGACCTGGAACATGTGACCAGCATGGGTGGGTGGTCAGCTGTGGCAGCCACAGGGGCCTGAGACCTCCCAGAAGGGCTCTAGCCTCCCTGAACCTTCCTCCCACCTCCTCCAGGAAGGCCTCCCTAACTGCTGACCAGCCTCCCTGACCTCCTACCAGGGATATCCTACTGCTCCAACCAGAGCTGATTTTCCCCGCTTCCCTTCATGGCCAGCTTCATAAATACTAGTTGGCTCACAGCCCACTCTCTACCCTATTCAGTGCTTAGAAAAATTCCTCAGCCTCTACTTGCTTTCCTCTAGAAATGGGAGAGCTCACTACCACCTGAGATCTTCTGACTTTCCTCTGTGTTTCAAAAGTTCTACTGAATGACGCTGCTCTCCTGGCAGTCTCTCTGCCCGCTGGGGTTCAGGCTAGAGTACCCCCACCCCAGGCCAAGGGCTGGCCTGGAGCAGATACTTGACCAAGGCCTTACTAAACCCCCAAACCTACCCAGCCACCCCTCCGCTGCCCTCAGCCCTACCTGCCCCCAGCTGGTGCCCGTTTTCCATGATGCAGGAGTTGAAGGCCTTTTTCATCTCCGACCCACTGGCCTCGTCATAATCCAGACTCTACAGAGACACAGACCACACCAAGAGCCCGTCAGCCAGGGGAAGCTGCCTGCCCCAAACCCCCTCCTGGTTCTGGCAAGATCCTGGGAGGCAAATACCTCCACTGGGCTCCTCCCCGAGTCCCAAAAAGCTGAGGACAGACATCAAGATTGAGGATTCCAAAGTAGGTGAGGCCACCTCACCCTTTCCCCCAGGCTGGACCAGATGATGGTCAGGAGTGCCTGGCCCCCTGCCCCTCTCACCTGGGCCAGACTGACACGGACACCAGGTCTTTCTGCACCAACGATAAGCAACAGCGCCCCGATCATGCTGAGGCCCGTTCGTGGGTGGCCAGGACACGATTTACCCGGCCGTTCAGAGCCTGGTCAGCTGCAGGTGACTCACCCATCCCGGCTAGGTGGTAGGAGTGGGTGGGGCAGGTGGGGGCAGACAGACAGCCAAGACCAGGAGCCAGTGGGGAACCTGGGATCCAGGCCGTGCTGCCCATCCCTGTGACCTGGGCCACAGCACTTCCCCTCAGGGTCTCAGTTTCCCCGTTTGACAAACGGGAGCAGGCTAGGCAAGCGACGCTCGGCATCCACCCAGCACCCAGCTCTTCTTCCAGGCACACCCCTTATGCCAACCAGCCTCTGTTCTCCCAGTAGATGCTGCCAGAGCCATTTGACAAATGGGACCCGGGAGTCTGAGAGAGCATGTGCCCCGCCCAAGACTATACAGCAGAAACCAGCTGGGACTTGTGGCCAGGGGAGAAGTTCCCAACCGTGGTCCTGGTCCCCTGCTCCCAGCAAAGGCGTGTGATGGGCTGAGAGTGTCTGTGGGGCTGGCAGGGGCTCCACCGAGAGCCCAGGACGAGCGGCTTGAGAGGTCGGCTGTGCGTCTTGTAGGTGCCCTGGTTTACAAGGTTCCCAGGCAAATGATGACACAGCCCTGGCCCGGAGGGCTCAGCTCCTCTCACAGCCAGGGCAGGAGGCGCGCGCCCTGCCGTAGGGAATCAGTCTGGCAGGGGAGCCAGGCTCATGAACAGAGAGGGCTGTGTCAGCATAAGGATGCCTGGCACAGGCTCCACCCAACCCATCAGGGCAAGGAGGGCCCCTCAGAGCCAGAGGTGCCTGAGCCACATCCAGAGTGAGCCCGGAGGACGAGCAAGGGAGGGCACACCTAGCAGAGTGGTCAGTGTCTGCTTCTGCAGAGACATCAAGGCACAGGTATCCTGACCATGCCCGCCTGGGACTCAGGCAGATGCAGCAGTGCACCCAGGATGTCCGCCTGGGACTCAGGCAGATGCAGCAGCGCACCCAGGATGCCCGCCCAGGACTCAGGCAGATGCAGCAGCACACCCAGGATGCCCATCCGGGACTCAGGCAGATGGAGCGGCGCACCCAGGATGCCCGCCCAGGACTCAGGCAGATGCAGCAGCACACGCAGGCTGCCTGCTTGGGGTCCTCGACACCTTAGGAAGGAACCCACAGTCCTCGGCTCTGTGTTTCAGGAACACCCTCCAGAAGATGTCAGAGAGGGGCACAGTGGAGGAGACCAGACAAGACACTTCTCTAGTCCTGGGCAGGAACTGGGGAGGGAGATGGGGCACTGGGAGGGCCATGGGCAAGAAGGACTGGGGGCTTTGGGGGAAAGGGATGGGCCTGGAGACTGCGCGGATATGGAAGAGGAAGGGTGCCAAGCCTCTTCCAAGCCCAGGCTTGGTGGGACAGGTTTCACCTGGGGCATGTTGAGGGCATGAGCTGAGGTGTAGCTGAATTTTTGAGTCTGGAGTTGAAGAGAAAAGAAGGATGAGGGCGGGCGCTGTGGCTCACACCTGTAATCCCAGCACTTTGAGAGGCCAAAGTGGGGGGATCACGAACTCAGGAGTTCAAGACCATCCTGGCCAACACAGTGAAACCCCGACTCTACTAAAAATACAAAAATTAGCTGGGCGTAGTGGCGGACACCTGTAATCCCAGCTACTTGGGAGGTTGAGTCAGGAGAACCACTTGAACCTGGGAGGCGGAGGGTGCAGTGAGCTGAGATGGCACCACTGTACTCCAGCCTGGGGTGACAGAGTGAGACTCTGCCAAAAAAAAAAAAAAAAAAAAAGATAGAGAGAGAGAGAGACAGAGAAGAAACAAGGATGAGCATGTTGAAAAACAGAAGTCAGGGCATGCACTGGGCTCCTGGAAGTCCAGCAGAGGAAGAGCAGCTTGGGGCCCCTGGGATAAGGTCCCAACATTTCAGGAAGCAAAAGAGCAGTCAGCAGAGAAGGAGGAGCAGCCAGAGAGGTAGGAGGAGCCCTTGAAGAACTGTGAGAAAGCCAAGGCCAGGAAGGAAGTAAATCCAGAAGCCAGGCACGGGGCCGGCCGCAGTGGCTCACGCCTATAATCCTAGCACTTTGGGAGGCTGAGGGGGGTGTATCACTTGAGGTCAGGGGTTTGAGACCAGCCTGGTCAACACGGTGAAACCCCGTCTCTACTAAAAATACAAAAATTAGTCAGGCGTGGTGGCAGGCACCTGTACTCCCAGCTACTTGGGAGGCTGAGGCAGGAGAACCGCTTAAACCCAGGAGATGGAGGTTGCAGTGAGTGGAGATTGCACCACTGCACTCCAGCCTGGGCAACAGAGTGAGACTCTGTCTCAAAACAAAAGGGGGAAAAAAGCCAGTTTCGTCCAAAGGCAGCCTGGGGTCGAGGAAAAGGTGAAGAGGAAATGCAATCAGGCGTCCATTGGGTTCAGCAAAAGAAGAGGCCACGGGTGCTTAGAAGCATGGGACAAGGAACGGCGGGGACAGGAGAGGCCTAGGGGAGAAGTCCCAGGGAAATGAAGGCCGCACAGTAACTTTGGCCCTGAGTGGAGCCGGGGGAAGGGGTCAGAGGGGTTTTTCCAGAGGGAAGAGGCAAGACCACATTTATATGCTGAGAAAGGTGAGGGGACCTCTGCAGGTGGGGACCCTGGGGAGCTCAGAGCGGGCAGGACCCAGAGCCTGGGGAGAGGCAGCCTTGGAGAGGAGGTGACCCCTCAGCTCTTGATTCAGGAGTGGGAGGAGGAGAGGCCGGGCCTGCTCTCAGGAACACAGGAGAATCACCCTGCATCTCAAAGAATGGGCACCCCTCCAGGCATGTCGGCAGGGGGCGAAGAACCAGCCAATCCAGCTGGAACCGCAGCCCCCACTGTCACCATGGCTGTGGCTCTGGGGTCTCCATGACCCCCCGCCACACCCCTGCTCTCATCTGACAGGTTCCACAGGCCCAGGCAGGGCCCTGGGGGGAAAGGCTGAGGGCGAAACCATTTTCCCAGGAAATGTGTCTCTACGGGTGGGTGGGGAGGGGGGTCCCCTACAGATGCCTGTCCCTGCACGTTGCAGTCCCCTCAGCAACCCCCATGGTGCGCCAGGGGACCAGGTGCTGTAGCAGACCTGGTAGTCAGTTCTCTCGGCTAGATCCCTGCTAAGGGAGGAGGGGAAGGGGCTGGGGTGCAGGGCTGAGCCCAGACTCCCAAGCTCCCCTGCCTCAAGACTAGAAAGCATACCTCACCTGGGGAAAGGGTTCTGCCCAGGCCTTGGGTCAAGGTGCAAGGGGCTATTCTGAGATCACCCTCCAATCCATCATCACACCGATAGAGAGAGGCAGTGGCAGAGTCAAAGTATGGGTCTTGGGTCTCTTACCCCATGCCAGGGCTCTGTCCACGAAGTGCTCTGGCCTTCTAGGGGGCAGAGAGGACAACTCAGGCAACTTGTCTCCCAGGGCCCGGGTCAGTGGGTGCCCTGGCCCACGGGCTCTGTCTTAGACAACGAGGGTGAGGAAAAGGAGGGGGACTGGGGCCACCACCCAGTGGGACCTCCACGAAACTCAGAGCTCTTCAACCAGAGGGCTTGGCTGGAATGAGCTGTGTCCGCAGACCCCCCAGTAGGCTACTGTGGTCCTCTGTTCAGGGCAGCTGCCTCGGTCATTGGGAAGGAAACCAGGGAGGCACCTCCGATCTGGGACGGGGCAGAAATCGCTGGAGAGGCCTGGCGCTGGGGACAGGTCCTGTCGAGCTGGCCTGGTACTCCCCAAGAGTCCCCACTTCAGCTTTGTTTCCAGAAAGGGGAGGTGCCCCATGGGGGAGCCCAGGCCTGGGGTGATAAGTCTGATTTCAGGGGCCTTCCTATTGGAAGAGCTTTTAGACGTTTTTGTGGGGGAGGACGCATATTTCAGGCGTTCTGGGTGCTGCCTGAAGTGCGTGGACCCATCCGTGGGGACAAAGCCCACGCAGGGCCAGAGCCGCATCCTAAGACGATTCACACGGCTGACCCGGCCTCCTCCACTCACACCGCCGTTTGAAAGGACTGGATTCAAACTTCTCCCTAAAGCATTTAACTCTCTTATCACAGTGTGTCTGGGAAAGGAAGGCAGATAAGGCGAGTCTGGTTTCTTTCACGGTCGGGCCTCTGACATGGGGCTGGCTCCTGGCGGCTGCTCCTGAGGCCTCCGTGGCCTCGGCCATGGGAACTCAGTGGCTCTAGCTCAGTTGAGGATGACATTTCCAGGTCACAGCTCTGGTCCAACCTGCTGGGGCCTGGGCCTGGCCTCAGGCTGCCACCATCCACCTCAGGCCCCCACCTGGCTCCCAGATCCCTGCTCCCAGCCAGACAGGATTGCTTGATCAGCCCTTCCTGCGCTGAGTTCAGGACACATTTATATACTGGAGACAATATACCTCCAATCCCTCAGTCCCCAGTTTGAAAGCAAATGGGTCTCTAAATGTCATGGCTTGTTACAGAGGGTCAGCATGACACCGGCCTCTACAATGCCGGGTAGCACTGTCATCCCTGGCTTGTGTGGGTGGGATGTCCCACCAAGAACCCCACTACCCAGACACAGCCTGGGAGGTCAGACGCCCAGCAGCCTGGTGTTCGGCTGTGACTCTGTCCACGGCCAACACTCAAGTTTCACCCAGCGTTTAGCTGTGGTTCTGTGTCCACAGCTCACACTACAGTCTACTCTGCACCCAGGCTCCTTGTTTGTGACCAAGCTCTGGATCACACGGTGCTGGTCACGGCACGTCAGCCTGAGCATGTGAATGGCTCCACACGGCTCAGCCCGAGCATGTGGATGACTCCACACGGTCCCTCCTCTCGGGCCGGACGCTGGCCTGGAGGCCGTGTCAATGCTCCCGAGGCGGAGGACAGCAAGAGAGGTAGGGATTGGTGCTTGTGAGGTCAGCCCCGTGCTAGCTGCCTCAGGCCCAGGGAGCAGGGCTCAAGGGGTGTCAGGGTTCTAACCCAACTGGGGACCGTAGCCATGCTCTGCCCACAGAGCTCACCTAATCTTGCTGCTCACGCCCCTGGCTGCCTGGGTCTCCATCCTCAGTCCCCAAAAGGCGGATGCATCCCCTGGGTGCCTGGGTCTCCATCCTCACCTCCCAAAAAGCTGATGCGTCCCCTGGGTGCCTGGGTCTCCAGCCTCACTCCCCAGCAGGCTGATGCATCCCCGCTGACCCCAGCCTCTTCTTTCAGGAGGGCTTTCTCTCTGGTTTGCTCAGAATGGGCTCTCAGTCCCTCCTCCCTCCCTGGCAGCTCCCCAGTCTATTTTTGATTTCCTTCAAACTCTTCTGCCTTGGCCCAGAGAGCTCCCGCATCTCCAGCCTTGCCCGCTCTCTGGAGCACCAGATCCAGCATCCACCTGCTCTGAGACAGCTTCACCTGGTTTTCCATAGACCCTCATGTTCAGCACAGCCTGGGTGGAACCCAGCATCTCCACCCAGATCTGTGGCCCAGCGGTCCCCCAAGCCAGGGCTCCCCTCTGAGACTACCCCATCTGCTCACTCCCCTCTGAAACACCTGCCCAAGGCAGCTCCTCTACACACCATGGCCCATGCCCCAGCTCAGACCCTTCCTTTCTCCTTGGACCGTCACAGTTAAGTTACCCATCTCCAGCCACCAGCCACCTTCCATCCACTCCTAAGAGGGCTTGCCAGACACAAAGACCCACATCCTGAGCCTCACCCACCAACCCCTAAGCCAGAGGACCAGCTTGGTGCCAGTGAACAATGGCTAATTTCCACTGACAAAAGGCACAACTGGAGAGAATCCTCCCCCCTCTGTGTGTGTGTGTGTGTGTGTGTGTGTGCGTGCGAGCCCATACACACACACAAATTTACATGTATATGTGACTCTGACATTATTTTTCTTAAAATTTGGACGGCTGCTCCTATGAGCAGGCAAATAGCAAACGCATGTTAAAATCAAACCTCAGAAACAATGATGACACAGCCGACAAGGCGCGTGTTAGCTCACAGCGGTGATTTTATGCCACAGCCATGTAGAGTGTCATGTTCAGAAGCCAGGCCTAAGTGTATCCACATTTCCAGAAACTTCACACGGAGCGCTGGGACACCCACAGGCTCTGCCACCAGGACACGCATCAGAACCTCGCACAGGCTGGAGAAAGCCCAGCTCCTCTGCCCCATACACCACAGCCACTCCCCACCCCACTCACATGCCTCGAGGTGGCACTGTCGCCAGTGAGTCCTTTCAGCGTTTCTGAGGCTTAATGCACCACCCACCCCCATCTGCACCTGTGGCAGCAACCCTTGGCCCCCCAGCAGTCAATGTCTCCCTTGCTGGGAAACCCGATGAGAAGGGACTGACTAGTGTTAGTGTCTGGAGCAGAGCACGTCCGACTGCCCAAACTTGGTCTGGGGCCACCTCTCACCCTGGCTGGGACCTCCAGGGAGAAGGTCCAATCTGATATCCTCCTCCAGGCCCCCTGAGGTCCAGCCCAGCCCACAGCAGGAAATCTGAGTGCCCCATGGATCGGACCAAGGAGGGAGCAGGTGCAGGTTACACAGCGGCAGACCCTGGGAACTCAACCCCAGAGCACATGCCTGATCAGGATGGAAAATCCCACCCAAGGGTCACTGCACACGCCATGGAAACACTGGAAACATTCTAACCGCCCTGGGTGGCCCATGAGGGAAGTAGTGACAGGTCCCCGTCGGCCTCTGCCCCATCCCCACATGGTGTGGGGTTCTGGCCAGTCACTGACCCCAGGAATCTAGATGCCGCTGGAGGCTGGTTCCCATCTCTCTCCCTTCCCGGTAAGGGATTTTCGCCCCCCAACCCCCACCCCGGGATGCCGGGATCCCAAAGGCCGCTGCTGATCGGTTGGTTTGGGAACGCCAATGCCCCTCGGCCCCCCTTCCCACCCAACCAGGGGCCTGAGTTCTCAACCTGGGTTAATCAATAACCAGAGCCGTCAGGCCTCAGTGAAGCGGCAATGCAGGGGCGCGTGAATGGAGGGTGGGGGCAGGCAGGGGTGGTGACCATTCCAACACGCCCCGCGCGGCCCCAGGCAGTGCTGAACTGTCGGGAGCTGGACCTTGGCGCCCAGGCCCTTGGTGTCATGGGACAGAGGAGAGAGGGAGACGGGACTCGGAGCAAACAGAGCCTCGCTCCAAAAAAAGGGCGAGGGCCCAAGACAGGTGCAGCGGGCAGGCTAAGTGGTCCTCCCCCTGCCGTCTCCAACTCCGGAGGGGCGGCCGGACCCCATCGCTTATTCCGAGTGGTCGGTGATAGGCCCCAGCCCCTAAGACACGCGAACGCAGACGGTCGGGGCGAAGGGGCGGCAGCCGTTTCGGAGCCCCACTCCCCGGTGCCAGCGCGCGAGCTCCCCGGGGCTCACCTGGCCGCGGCCGGACAGCGAGAAGGTGGCGTGGCTGGCGAAGCGCGCGCTACCCAGGCGGGGCGCACGGTCCGGGACCCCGGGCGCGGGCGGGGGGCTGGGCGTGCCGGGGGTGCCCGGGGTGCCAGGCGCCGGGGACATCCCGCTGGCCAAACCCAGCGCCTCCACCTGGCGCGTCAGGCGCTCGAGCTGCGCCTGCAGCCGCTGGTTGTCCCGCTGCAGCTCGGCCACCGTGCGCGCCAGGGGGCCGGCCAGGCGCAGCGCCTCCGACACCCGCCGCTCCACGCCGCGCTGCAGACCCTGCATGTCCTCGTGCAGCGCGCGCACCGCGCCCTCCAGCGCCGCCTCGTAGCGGCCCAGCGCCTCGCGCACGGTGCGCGCCTCCTGCGCTTCTGGGGAGGGCTCCATCGCCCAGCGGGGTGCGTGGGGCGAGAGAGGGCCGGGCCGGGAGAGGATCCGAGCTCCGCAGCTCCGGGATGCGACTGGCAGTGCTCCGCTGGCTTCGCACGAGGGGGAGGCCGGGGAGGCGGGCGCGGGGCGGGGCCTCGGGGGCGGGGCCGGGCCGACTCGGGGACACCTCCCTCAGCCCTGGAGCCGCGCGGGACGGTGCGCAAGGAGAGCTCGCCCAGTCACTCCTCTCCCCGGCTCCGGACTGAGCCCTGCAGGAGGGGCGGCGGGCCCACCCGAAGAAGACCCTGGCCCCCCGTAGACCGTGGAGAGCACACCCGGGATGACGCGTTCTCTTGGGGGGCTCTCACGCGCAAGGCCCAGGTCCTGCCGCGGGCCGAGACTCCGGCCCTGCTTGGGGGCACCTAGAGCAGCAGCTCCCAGCGCTGCCGCCCTTCCCGTGGGGCCCTCCCTGCACAGCAGGCACGCGCTCACCTGTAGGACCTCCGTCTGCAAAACTGCACCTGTTCTAAGACCTCAGGGAGGAGACAGGTGGTAAGGTCCCCTCCCTGACTCCGCAACTATGCGCTCTCCCCTCCCGGTCCTACTCTGTGTAGCAAGATCTTCGTGCCCTTCGCACCAGCGGTCGGTGGAGGCTCCGGGCTCACCAAGGGCCCTCTGTTAGGGGGTCCTAGAGAGGCTAGAGGCAGACAGAGGAAGAAGGGGGCGCCAGGGCTGAATCTCCAAGCCTTGGAATGGGTGGCTTCGGGACTAATCGCCCCCTCCTCCAAGGAGAGTCTCAGTCACTGGCCTCTACCCGCAGGCCAGGGGTCCTACCCTGATTCCTTCTCAATGCTCTTCATGCCTGAACCCAGATAGTTCCCCCTTCCAAACACACACCCCCAACCGTAACCAGAAAAGGGATGCAGTGATGGGGAAAGCTCGCTCTCCATTTTCACTGTATCATAAAGCTGATTTCGAATCAAAATGGGAACGTATCCCCCTTTGTCCAAAAAGCCTTTTCTTGTTTTTTTTTTTTGTTGTTGTTGTTGTTTTGTTTTTGTTTTTGTTTTTTTTTTGAGACAGAGTTTCCCTCTTGTTACCCAGGCTGGAGTGCAATGACGCAATCCCGGCTCACAGCAACCTCCGCCTCCTGGGTTCAGGCAATTCTCCTGCCTCAGCCTCCTGGGTAGCTGGGATTACAGGCACGCACCACCACGCCCAGCTAATTTTTTGTGTTTTTAGTAGAGACGGGGTTTCACCATGTTGAGCAGGAGGGTCTCGATCTCTTGACCTCGTAATCCACTCGTCTCGGCCTCCCAAAGGGTTGGGATTATAGGCGTGAGCCACCGTGCCCAGCCTACAAAAAGCATTTTCTAACTGGCCTTCATTTTTTTCCCAAGCCTGGCCTGCCTGAAAGAGGCCCAGAGACTGGGCAGGCACAGCCAGCTGACCTGCAGGAAGGAGAAGTCTGAAAGGCTTGTTCATATCCTGGTCAGCTCCCAAGGGTGTTTGGCACTTACTAACCCTCCTGGGTTGGCCATCATTGCCCCAAAGGAACTGGAGCAGCCTGACAGATGCTAAATGCTTGTTCTCTCCCCCAACCCCTGCCCCAAGGGGACGGGAAAGAATGCCAAGTTACCTAATCTAAGGAGCCTTCCAGCAATTATTTCATGAAAAAGTGAAATGCCAAAAGGCGTGCATGTTGCATGTTTGTGTGAGCATGTGTGCGTTCCACGTAGCCGTCTGGACAGGGTGAACCAAACTGCTCCCCAAACTCTTCCTCCAGGTGGAATCTCGTAGCAGCCTCCAGAGACCCTGCTGCTGCTGCTCTTCAGACAGCACTCAGAGCCCCTGCAGGTCTCAGCACAAGAACCTGGAGTTAAGAAACCCTGGTCTCAGCCACAGAAGCCAGTCCCTTCCCTTGTAAGATCTAAGGAAGGACCGTGTGGAGACGTCTTGAGAGGGACTGGCTGTGCTGGTCCCCAGCCTTCTCTCCGTCCTCCAGGAGAAGGCAGAATGTCTGGGCCATGGGTGGGAAGCCTGGCAGGAAGGAGGAGGTGGCCGATGGCAGAGGCCGGCTGCCTGGGATGCATCCACATTCCCCAACCTCAGGTGTGTCATCTGGTCCCTCCTGAGCCACATGGGAATGTGTAAGAGGAGCTTCCAGGGGATGGGGATGGGGGATGGGCTGCTTCTGGGGCTGGAGGAGAGACTCGGTCAAGGGTGGAGCTGGGGTCTCACTGTGGTTTCTGGGAAGGCAGATGGTATGAGACCATCCATCTGGCTCCTTTTTGTGATCAGTCAGACCCCCAAGTCAGTAGCCGGGGTGCACCTAGGAGAGGAGAGAGGAGCCAGGGGCATGAGGAAGAAGGTGATTCTGGGGTGGGAAGGGGGAGGGGGATAGAGGGTCAGCACCACCCTCTGACCTGGCTCCGTGACAGATGGAGCACACTGCAGCTCTGTCCTCAGGCCAGGGCTATGGGGAGCCCTCCCTGCGGGCCCCTCCCCCACGCTTCGCAGCTCCACCCCTGACCAGTACCAGGCTGCGAGGGAGGTGAGGGCCTGGGGCTGCGAGGGAGGTGAGGGCCCCCGAACCTGGCTGAACTCCCTCAACATTCACCAGCCCTGATGTCAGCGAGCAAGTGGAGACCAACCTCCCACCGAGGCCTGGGGGCCCTGGCGCCTGCCCTTCCCACCCCAACCCGTGGCTCTGTCCCCTCACTTCCTGGCTGTGCCCCGGTTGCTGCCCACCGGGCTCTGCTCTGCTCTGGTCTAGGCTGGATGCAGAAGACGGGACATGCTTTCCCCAGCCCCCCTGCCAACGTCTCACAAAATCAAATCCTGCCAGGCCAAAATCAAAGGTAGGGAAGTTAGCATCTTTGGGTTTGAGGTGGGGAAACTGAGGCCCTAAGATGGGCAGGGACTGGCCCAAGGCCACACAGCAAAGCATGAGAAGACAGGACTGGAACCCAGAGCCCTGCCCCAGACCTGGGGTGCAGCACCCGGTTTCCTGCACGCCAGTCCCAGCTCACCTCCTGGGACAGCAGTCAGGTTCCACAAGGTCAGGGCAGCACCTGACTGGCTGGAGACCTCAATCCCCTGAAATTGCTCCTCAGAGGCCTCCAGTACCCCCATGACCCTCGGGACCCCCAGGACCACTCCCTCTTCCTCACTCACGTGATTCTCCTCTTTCCCTCCCCAGCGACCTTCCTGAGTGACCATGCTTTTGCTAATCCCTTCACCGAGGTGGTCCCAGAACTCTGAGCTGGGCCTCCCCCGTCTCACCTGCACAGCCTCCCTGGGTGGCCTCACCCCGACACCTGCGGGGTGCTTGCCCCCTCAGTGCTGAGGACTCCCACTTCTCTGCCTGCCCCCAGCCTCTCCCCTGAAGGCCCTGCACACTTTCTAGACTCCTCAGGTCCTGGCAGAACACGAGTAGGGCTTCCAGCCTGGGGAAAGGACAGGAGTGGGGCCACAGATTCCCGCACACCAGGTGGAAGTGGGCTCTGTCCCCCTGCCTGGTTCCACTCCTTCTGCCTCTGCACCCTGGGTCCACAGGCACGGTGCGCAGGCACGCATTGGCCCCCGTTCCTGGAGAGCAGGAGCTGTCTCAGCGTTTGGCTGTCCCCATACCTGAGTCACAGCTGGCTTTAGTCAAGGCTCAATAAACGTGGCTGGGTCCTCTGGGAAAAGGGGACTTACTGGAGAATCCGTGGAACCGATAGGAGCTGGATGTGTGGACAAGAATGAGGGAAGGGAAGAAGGCAAGGATGGCTCCCAAATTCTGACTCCGGGATATGGGGGTGCCATTCATTAGAATGGGTCACAGAGGCCGGGTGAGGTGGCTCACACCTGTAATCCCAGGTATGAAACCTTCCTTTGGGAGGCCAAGGTGGGCAGATCGCCTGAGGTCAGGAGTTCAAGACCAGCCTGGCCAATGTGGCAGAACCCCATCTCTGCTAAAAATACAAAAAATAGCTGGGCGCGGTGGCGCATGCCCGTAGTCCAAGATACTTGGGAGGCTGAGGCAGGAGAATCAGTTGAACCTGGGAGGCGGAGGTTGCAGTGAGCCGAGATCATGCCACTGCACTCCAGCCTGGTGACAGAGTGAGACTCCATCTCAAAATAAAATAAAATAAAGAAAGAAGATCAAATGGGTCACTCGCTGGGTCAAAGGCAGCTGCACATCTGACTGGGATCCCTCCAAGCCCCCTCTACCAGCAAGGACTCAGACTGGAGGGTCAGGCCCTTCTTGGCCCTGCCACACCCCCATGGTGGTCTCGCTGGCTGGGACAGCTAGCCAGCCTGGCCATCGGGGTCACCATCAGGAAGGTGGCATCCAGCCACACCCTGACTCCTCATGGTCTGTGACTGCAGGGGCCCACGGGGAGAGGGCCTCAGAGGAGATATGCGCCTCGGGACCAAACCCCACCGCCCCTGGCGAACACGTCATTCCCCCTTCTCCGCCCAAATCCTGAAATCCAGCTTCTGCCCTGGAAACTGTTGCCTTGTTATGAGATCCAGAGGGGTGGGAATGCAGGGCTTAGGTTTATCTTTTCCTGCCAGGTTGCTGGATTCAGGAGCCAAGAAGAGTGATAAAGAGGGAGGTAGAAAACTTGGCGATGATTGTGCAGGATGGGGCCCCATGGTGGGCACGTCTTGGAGGCTCCAAGTCTTACCTCCAGCTGGGTCGCAGGGCAGTGCCCAGGAGAGGGACGCATGGGTCCCACAGCTCTGCCTGCCTGAAGCAGAGCCACAGGGGTGATCCTGGGACCCTCCTGATGTCTGGATAACTTCACCTCTGCCAACCAAACCTTCTTTTAAATTCTGTCCTTCCTTCCCAACAGACATTCTGCCAGAGACACGTGTACCTTTCAATGTTCATCTCTTTCCCGTGTATCTGAGGTGAGGATGTGTCTGGGCATCCATGCTGTTTGCATCTGTGTATGTGTGTGTGTGTGTGTGTGTGTGTGTGTGTGTGTAGAGGAAAGATTTGGGGGTTCAGGCGTCTGTGCTCCTTACCAGCACGGATAGGTGGTGTGTGGGGCATGCACACATTTGTAAGTGCCCGTGTTTACAGGAGGGTTTGTAATGCGCTTGCTC